GCTGTGCCTGGCCTGAAGAATTGAATTTTTAATTAAATTAAATTAAATTTTTTTTTTGAGATGGAGTTTCGCTCTTGTTGCCCAGGTTGGAGTGCAATGGTGTGATCTCGGCTCACTGCAACCTCTGCCTCCCGGTTCAAGCAATTCTCCTGTCTCAGCCTCCGGCATATGCCACCACGCCCAGCTAATTTTTGTATTTTCAGTAAAGATGGGGTTTCTCCACGTTGATCGGGCTGGTCTCGAACTCATGACCTCAGGTGATCTGCCCGCCTTCGCCTCCCAAAGAGCTGGGATTATAGGCATGAGCCACTGCGCCCGGCCTGAATTTTTAATTTAAATAGCTACGTGTGACAGGTAGCTATCATATTAGACAGTACAGCTTAAGGTGGAAAATAAGTAAGTACTAGGTAGAAATTGAGCTCCATAGAGCTTATAGAATTTATTATGATTATTAATTAATTTATTTATTTTGAGATGCAGTTTCGCTCTTGTTCCCTAGGCTAGAGTGCAATGGCATGATCTTGGCTCACTGCATCCTCTGCCTCCTCGGTTCAAGCGATTCTCCTGCCTCAGCCTCCCTAGTAGCTGGGATTACAGGCATGTGCCACCACGCCTGGCTAATTTTCGTATTTTTAGTAGAGATGGGGTTTCGCCATATTGGCCAGGCTGGTCTCGAATTCCTGACCTCCGGTGATCCACCTGCCTCAGCCTCCCAAAGTGTTGGGATTACAGGTGGGAGCCACAGCGCCTGCCCTGAGCTTATAGAATTTAACCATGATTATTTAATCACAATAGCAGAATACTAGATTGAAATTGAATTCTCCTTCCCTCTTAACTACTGGGCGTACTACCTCCAGATGTAGTCAGCTACTCAATGAAAAGGGTTTTTCCCCAACAAAATAGCCATTATTTTTGTTTTGTAAAAAAAATTTTTTTTTGAGAGTCTCACTCTGTCACCCAGGCTGGAGTACACAGTGGCACAATCTTGGCTCACTGCAACCTCTGCCTCCCGGGTTCAAGCAATTTTCCTCCCTCAGCCTCCCAAGTAGCTGGGATTACAGGTGTGTGCCAC